AGTCTGACAATTGAAATCAAACTATTTTGTATAGGCCTATGCCCTGAGTGAATATAATTTTCTAAAGTTGTTTTCTCTCTTTTATCTCTAAACTGGAAAGCAACAAACAATATGTTTTCCTTTCTAAGCTTTATTATGCTAAATCTTACAAGCAATTAGCAAATACGGCTGGAAGAAAAGTCATATATGAATTCTTAGTGCTTTCAGGCGCTGTGTCTTTGTAAGGAAGCACATCAAAATCACTCTTCCTCTGTATCACCCATGAAAAATATATCCAGAATTAAATGCACTTACATCAAAATCTCAAAACTCATTGTTTTGCAACTTCTGAACTTATGGAAATACTTCCACACTGCAGCATTTCTTATTCTGGAAGCATTTTTGAGGAAAGACAACAGCAGTTAAAAGCTACAAGAGACACAACTTCATTTTAGAGCACTTTCCCTCCCTAGATTTACATATTTTTGTCATTCGAACATTCACTTGTTTCAGTACTGATGTGTACCTATACATTTCTGTGATTTAAAATAATGACCTTTCACTCTTTATGCAAAGAAAGTAAAAGGGAGGCATGAACTGCATTTGAGCGATGAAGTAATATAGGTAAATGTTTGTACAGATAGAAAGATATTATGTTTGAAAGATGATTTCCTTCTTTGTATTAATAAATAAAATAAAATAAACTCTGAACTGCAAGAGAAAGTTATCAATTTCTTAGTATAAAATAAAAAATATATGTATAAATACATACATTAATGTCTTTGCATTGTTCTCTCTTATTAATTTCTGCCTTACGAACAATAAAAGGGGTACCTAAATATATATATTCATTTATCCATATACATTCTTGTACAAATATAAATACAAAACTAACACTGGTCTTCTTCCCATCCTAACATCTAAATTGCATTGACTATAAGAACTATCAAGTTGAATGACTAAACAGATCCAGCCACTCTGCTTCAGCATATTCCTTGACTGGTGGACTAACTAGGGAACCAAAAATAAAAAAGGAAAACCAGACATTCAGGCATCTTCCTATGTATGGTGACAGCAGAGAATGGTCGTGCACAGAATGAGAAGTTTCCACAGCATGGATTCAAATGAAAAATGGAAATGTTTTCCGGTCTTTCTACTGGTTCCACTTTCAAATATCCTCAAGTTTGGAGACATACTGAAAATGTACTTTTTTTTCTAAAACGAAGGAGAATCAACTTGATAGATAAATACTCACTTAGGTAACATTAAACTCTACCAAAGGAAACACATGTCAAAGAAGAAGGAAAAGAAGAGGAAAAGTCATACTTCCCTAGGTAAGTGCAGCAGCAACAAGCAAATCCTGTATATAGACAATAATGTAGGCCATTCATCATTCTTAAATAAAGCACGTTTAGGTATAGTAACCAGGATGACAAATTTGTAACATACTGTCTATTCGCAAACAACCGCACAGGCTTAAAGAGAGAGACAGTTGATTAAACCAGCCTAACATGAAACCACTTCCATCATAACAAGCTGAAGAAGGTGGCAGATAATAAACCAAGCCTGCAACTATGCATACATTCAGGTTTATACTTATATCCCATCCACTGTCAAGCATTCCATCAATTCCACCCTGCCTTATTTCCTCATCCGCTCATCCATCAATTCACGTACCTTTTTTACCCATTCTACTCAGCCCCAACCACCCCATTTACCAACTCCTGAGGGAATACAGGTTTATCCTAACTGCACATACTGGAAAGATAAATCCTTGTAAAAGTACTATATAGTATATCACTTCTAAGCTCATTGCCTTATATCTGTATTATCATTACTTTATTCCTAAGTGATACTGTTGGTTGTGCTTAGTGTTATTCCCTGCATGAAAAGAGAGAAACAATGGTAAAAAATTTAAATAAAGAAATAAAAAGGAATAAATATATATAGTACTACAACAACAGACCCTCGCACTTGCTATCAAGTCCTGTAAATGGAAAGAACTAGGCATGGAAGCTATGATCATTATTGATGCAATCAAGCACATATTAACATTCAGGGTACGATATTTATATAGTGTACTTATATGTGCTATCCCTTAAATATTTAAAGCTTCAGACTACAACATTCCAGTACATATCAACAACACATGAAGTCCCACATGTCCAGTGGGAAAGGCATGGCAAACCCCAGTTATTGTGATCAAACTCTTACATCCTTCATAATATCTAAGCAGCACAAGAATAAGTATAAAATAAACACAGCTGTCAACTACATATGCCCTCTTGAGTATATCCTTTTGATGGCCTTGCACACAAATGTATGCAAGAATACTGCCTGCAGTTGCAACCTACTAGAAGTTGACTTGAAAATGCATATTATATTTCTTCCCCCTCACTCACCCCAGATATCTCTTTCTTTTCCCTAAGACTCCAAACTTTAATGAATAATTAATCATAGCCTAATCATGGAACTGAATAAACACTCATAAAAAACAACCTGAGTTGTTTTTTCCCACATAAGCATAACATTCTCTGCCATAAAGTTAAAATTTAACTAACAGTAACATCCAATTAGGTGGTTACTGATAAGGTCTCCAAATATTTTGTAGATGCACCTCTAGAATCATTATATTTTTGTGATGAAGTACCATGAAAGTTCAGAAATTATTAATGCAAAAGAAAGAGAGTTGTTTAGAGTTGGTACATCTGTGGTCCATAGGCAGTATAGGAAAATGTCCAACCATATGATCAAAAGCCAGCATGCTTGGCAGAGATTTTTTGTTTTTATTATTTTTTTATAGGAGTCCACACAAGATGGGCAGATGGTAAGCGGCAGACAAGAACCATAGGGGAGAAGCATTCTTACATGAGCAATTTTGTTACAACACAGAACCTAGGACTGCTTAGACTTATGTAATTGTTTGCAGTATCCTGTCATACAAATTAAACTTCAAATTAATTTTAGAGTGATGATATAAGGTTGTCTTGTGTAATATTACCAGCCTGTCTTTAGAAGTGTGATGGCCCAGAGTTTAATTATTTTGTTAATTATGAATCATGTACAATGATACAAACATGATATATTTTGTAATATAAATGCTTTAGATGTGATTATGATGTAAGATTTATTTCCTTGTATCAAGTGATGGTTTTTCTCATATAGAGTGATGATATAAGGTTGTCTTGTGTAATATTACCAGCCTGTCTTTAGAAGTGTGATGGCCCAGAGTTTAATTATTTTGTTAATTATGAATCATGTACAATGATACAAACATGATATATTTTGTAATATAAATGCTTTAGATGTGATTATGATGTAAGATTTATTTCCTTGTATCAAGTGATGGTTTTTCTCATATTTTTATATGTAAAAAATTAAGTAGTTAGGCACTGTATTTACGTCAGCTAAGTATTTTGTTATTTGCTTTTATGTGATAATTGTTGTTAATTAGAGAATTCCATTCCAGAAATAAATCAGTTATTACAACCTCTATGGCATTATTTTTTTAATACCCCACTATGTGGTTGCTCTTAGTGCAGCTGCAGCAGTGACACATTTCATACTAGAGCTTATATATGAAGAATGGTAAGACAACAATACTTTCATGTTTTTCTCATTTCCTTGCTTCTTTTTCAATATCATGCAAAGTCTGACTGTCTCCCCTTGGAGCCCAGTTGCATGACTAACACTGCTTCCCTTTGACTGTCTTGCCCTTATGCTCATCATCAGGATATGCCTCACGGGGGGGAATGAGAGACAGCATCATCAGGTGGCGGGAGAAGCACTTCGAGGCACGGAACTTGTCGTCTGTGCCGTGGAGGAGGTCAAGCACCCCTAGTACACCATAGCACTGATTGAACCTGCAACAAGCACATGATATTTATGCTAACAGTATTGAAATATTAAACAGAAAAAGACAAACCTTCATTTTAAGTACTCTACATTATAATATATACTTTGTAAGGTGATCCTTTGATCATAACTTGGATGTCAAACATCATTGGAAAACTAAAAACTTTTAAAATAGGAAAAAAGTCTCACTTCAAGTGATGGAAGTCATGAGCCTCAGGTGATGGGAAGAATGGCAGATGATATCCACTGTGGGCATTAAGGGTGCTGAGGATGGTGAGGCTGACCCAGAGCCAGACAGTAGCCACGTGTGAGCCAAGGACCAGTGGGCCAAGGAATACCGGCGAGAGGTTGGAACAGATGTGCTCCAGTGGGTGGGCATAGATGGCTGTGATGGCAATGGGGCTTTGCCACTCATGGTGCATCTTGTGGAAGTGCTTGTAGAGCAGTCGGTGGTGGAACAGCCTGGGGGGGACAAGAAGGATTTGGATTTTTAGATTCAATGTAAGGTTATCTAACTCAAATTCAAGCTTTTACAATCAAATTCAAGTTGTACTGCTTCAAATTCAAGTTACTTCAGTTAAACTGAAAATAACTGAGAATTGTGAGACTGAGAAATGGAAAGCATGAAGTTGAAGGGAGTAATGAGTGAGAGACAGACAATAAAGATAAATTGAGACAGTAAAAATAACAATAGATAAAAACTCCTAAAAATAGATACAAAAATATGCATAAAAAGACAGAAAGTGAAAACCAGCCCTTACCTATGTGAGTAGTAAAATCCAACTTCTTCAAGCAAAATGCAAATAATAAGTTCGAAGAGTACCCAGTGGAAAGTGGGCAGCTGTGGGGACTGGTCGTAGCCACGCAGAGCAAGCAAGTAGTAACTGGCAATGGAAAATGGAATACCCACGAAGATCTGGTTGAAGTGTACCCAGAGGATACACTGTGTTGGGGGGAAAAAATACCAATAACTGACATGAAAATTTAGGAAAAAAATCATTATCACATTAAATAAAAATGTTGATGACTATGTCATACCAACCACATTCAACTTGGCAACACAGAAAAATGTCCCTTAGGCATAAACTTTATTCCACTAGCTTGATAAAATCTACCACCCTCACCCCCTATTTATTTTTTTCCTCTTGGTGGGGCCACGGGGGCAACTTCATCTATGAGGGTACCTTCTGGTAAGCTGCAAGGTAGAGACATCTCAATTTCCTCATGACAGATATGATCATTCTGCCTCTAAATACATTAAGAGCTACCACAGACCTGGATATGATGGCAGTATCATCAGCAAAGTCAAAATCAGTAACCAATGTTGCTACTTTGGATGGCAGCTCTACCTACTGTCCAGTTGATGCATGTGCTGAAAGGCTGAGTGCTGAGTCTTAGGATCATGGTGCACTGAGTATAAGGCTTTACCACCCTGCAGCTTGAAGATTGCCTCCCAAACTTCTGTCAGAATGGGAGGTTCCTCACTGATGGGGTGATCAGGTCCTCGGATCACATCATTCATGTCAATACATCATCAGTGGTTCTACAGTAAGCAACAGCTTGCACTAAAACATGATCTGAGATGAACTAAGAAGGCTTTGTGTCCAGCTTTCCTAGGTAGGCCAGACAAAGGTCATTTGCTGACAAATGGCTTTCCATCTCAGTAACATTAATGATATGAATGTCCAGGAACATCCAAGGCCTGTGTGTCAAGGATCAATACAAATCCCAACCTCAAGTCTCCTGCGAGAAAACATTCTGCCTTGTTCTTAGAAGTCATGAATGAAAGCCTGGGCTGCATCAAGCAGTTTATGTTTTCAGATGTTCTACAGAATTACAGAGTCTGTCAGGTTGTAGAACACTGGGAATCAATTCTAGACCACATTACTCATTAACACATTGGATCTGGTTGCCACATGGCTCACAATGCAATTAGCTCTTTTACTGCAGAGGCATTTTTGCAGTTCAGACATTTTCCAAGGTCTATATTTGTGATTTGTTATGTTGTATTATGATGGTAATACTGTTTTTGTTGAGCAGACTCCATATTATCTCTGCGGGTAATTCACAGTGTGCAATAACAGGAACAATAAGTAATGCTGCATTGATATTTTTAATATTTTTGTAGAATTTAATTTTATACACTCTGCCACCAGCAACAGCAGGCAGGAATGGGTTCCTTCACATGTCTATAGTGTCCTCTCTGGAGCCCGCACTCTTCCAGGCATAGCTCACAGATGTTGCAGTCCATCCTCCTTTAACAGTGGAAAATTCCAAGAGACCCTTCCTAAAGGCCCACTGAGTCAATATCTCTCCAAAAGCTTGAGCACGATGTCTCCACCATCACCTGCCACTTAGAAACAATATTCCATGGCAAAAGTCTCCTGTCCCCCAGCCCTTAGGCCAAAAAGTTTCATGATGAGATGAGAGTTGTCCCTCTGCCAAAAGTACTTTTTTTATCACAAGAATCCAATGGGTTTACACTGCAGGTAAAAGTTATAGAGTCTGTAATGTCAGCAAGCACCTAAAACACCACAGAGCAGAATATAAATACAAGAAATATAACACCCAATGATTTAGAAATTAAAAAAACAATTTCAAGAGTTAAAGCCTCTTCAGAAAGATGAGACTTCAACTCTTAGAACCCTTGCACCAAACACAACCATCAGCCAAAACAGAAGTCACACAAACATCCAACAAGCAAAGGAAAACACAATCATACAAACAACAGAACACACAACAACACAATCATATGCCCAGACTATAAGCCAGTCTCAAACTATAACATTAGGACAAAGAACCCCCACGAAACCCAAAACCCATAATGCACACAAAAAACAAAAAGACAAGGCAAACATACCAGGAAAAAAATCACAGATCAAGAGAGATGATTTAAACACGGCAAAATCAACACAAATGACTCAATCACCAAAAACAATTCAGGAGTCTCTAATAATGTGGTCTCTACCAACACCACTAAGAGATGGAACTCCAAAAAGGAGCCAAAAAACAAAAACAAAAAGATATTCAGCTGAATTAAGATCAAAACTTTTCATGGAAGAATACAATAAAGAATATCATTAGCGTAATATCAAATAAATTTAATGTCTAAGTATACTTCTAAGGAGCCAAAAAACAAAAACAAAAAGATATTCAACTGAATTAAGATAAAAAAAATTCATGGAAGAACACAATAAAGAATATAATTAGCGTAATATCAAATAAATTTAATGGCTAAGTATACTTCTTATTTACAATCCATGTAATAATATAAGTAAAGAAATATTAGAATATTATGTAGAACAAATAGGTGAGACAAAGATGATAATGGAAGATTTCAATGCAAATCATACAAGTTAGAAGCCAAATTTAAACCTTAGACTATCAAATATCATGAGAAAAAACATATTTGAACTCATCGGTCAATATAATCTAATCTTGCTAACACCCCAGGTCAGACTACAAGAGCAGACCCCAATGACAGAAAAGCAAGCACAATTGACCTAATAATAACCTCACCTACACTAATCCACTAAGAAGTAGAAACAGGACCCAACCTGGGAAGTGACCACTTAAAAGATAACCTCGGAAAAAATGCACAACATAAAGAAAAGATGGAAATTCATAGAAGAAGGGTGGAGGAAATATCAAAAACAGATAGAAAGTGAAGATACTGAATATATAAAAACTTTTAGAGAATTTAACAAATTATTAAAAGACACAGGATCAAAATATTTCTATTTAGAGAATAATTATGGGATTAATAAACCAAACAAAACCTGGTGGAATTCATATTGCAATGAAGTGATAAAACAAAGAACAAAGCATACAACAAATGGAGAAAAAAAAAACAATCAAGAAAACCACTTCCACTATAGAAAAGAATTAGCAGTATCTAGACAAACAATAAAAAGAAAAAAAAGAAAATCCTGAGAAAATTTCTGGAACATGCATAATTATAAAAACATCATCGAGAAAAGTATGGAGCTTTATTAAAAGCTTTACTGGCAAAAATTCAACAATTGAAAATCCACTCATACATAATGATATATCCTTATCAGACAGCATCAAAGCTAGAATTATTTAAAGAACAATTTAAAAGAACTATAAAAAGTCACCAAAAATTATTAACAAAAAATGAAAGAGAGGCATCACTAAAGCTTCCAGATATTAAAGAACCAAGTAATAAGAGATCTAAAATTAAAAATCCAAACTCAACATCATCAGCAGTTTATATAAGAGATTACAATCCTATGGACACTCCATCAGTAACACAATTTTTTGATGCTGAATTATATGCCATTAAACAAGGGTTAACATACATACAAAATAACAAAAGCAGTGATTTCAAAATCAGCCCTACTCTTAATACAGAATCACTAACCAAAAACAAATAAACACTTGATACAAACTTATAAAAACACCAGGAACTCAGAATCACAAAAGCATGTTACAGTGGATCCCAACACATAAAGACATAAAAGGTAATGAAATTGCAGACTTAGCAGCAAAGAAAGCTCACAATACAAGGAACCTCATAAACATATCCCACAACACTAGAAACATCATAAAAGAAACTAAAACAAACATCCAAAAGAATTGGGAGAGTGATCTCAATAATCTCCTAAACACAAAAGCCTATCTAATAAGAAACAACTTACCACAACTATGGATAAGATAAAAAAAAAACAGAAAGTTCGATGTACGCCAAACAAGAATTTAAACAAAACATACAACACTAAAACAACACCTCCGTAGACTAAAACTCGAAAATGACCTTAATTGCAGATGGTTGCAGACAGGAAGAAGAAACAACGGAACATCTGATACAACAATGTCCAAGATTCAACTCATACAGAACTTATTTACTAGACACCCTAAGGAATATAAAAACAATAATCCAAATATATACCTTTTAATCACAGTTTTGGATCTACCACCAACTAAAAGATACTATATTCTTAGACACATTAAGATATTTCTACAGCGAACAAATATAAGTGATTACATAGAAACTACAAAGAAAATGATAAGAAAAGGATCCAGGGGATATGGACAATATTATAGTCTAAAACCCTATAAAAAGAAGAGAACTCTGGTAAACTCTAACATTCTGTAGGATCCTTTAATGAGTACTGATAAGTCAATCCTCAAACATGAACAGTCTGTTTAAAAACATTTAAAATAAAATCTAATTCCCTAGAACATGGAAAAATATACTTCGAATAAACCTAAATAACTGTAATGAAAACAAGGTGCACACAAGACTCAAGCACAACCTACCTTTACAAGCTTCCAAGGTTCGACTGGTTCATTTGTTCCTGGTTGCACTTTGTATCGACGGAGGAAGGCTGGCTTGTTTGTCGTGTCCATTAGGGTGTACAGGATGCCGATGCTCCAATAGACAAAGTAGGACACGATTGTTGACCCTAAAAGCAAGTGCAGAGGTAAGTAAATTTACTTCAATTTTCATTTTTATAAACATTGAAAACTGAGAAACAGATCTTACTAAACTCATCATAATAACATACCGTAAACCATGAGGAAGTAAGGATCATCTCCAAAAGTCTGAAGGATTTTGTCCCACTGGTGTTGCCAAAAGTCACCAGAAGCTCCCCAGAAGTGCTGCAGATGACTGGTGGAGTATGAGAAAAAATGAGTGAGTGGAGAAAGAGACAAAAAGAATATCTTAAACTTACGGCTGCTTCTTGTTATAATTTGGCAGACTGGACATATGCATGTGCACATGCAAACTCAAACTCAAATTCACACTCATACTCAGACTCGCATACACATTCACTCACTCACTCATATAATAAAATAATAATAAAAAAAAAAAAAAAAAAAAAAAAAAAAAAAAAAAAAAAAAAAAAAAAAAAAAAAAAAAAAAAGGTACTAGCTGAGACAGTTCTTCAGGACATACACACACTAACTCATACACTCATACACACACACTCTCAATCATACACTCACATACACACCCTCGCTTACAAAAAAAATACTTACTATGTGAGACTGTTCCTCAGGGCAACAAAGACAATAGTGGTTGAGCCTATGATGAAAAGGGCCTTCTTTAGGGTGGAAACCAGGTCAGCAGCAGCAGGGGATGGCTTGCGCACTGCCATCCCCTGGTCCCCTTGGTAGGCCTCCGTCTCAACCATTTTAC